GCAGCCACACCAGCGAGCCACATGTAACTGCAGGTCCTTGCGAGCCTTGGGGATGCGGCTGGGATGGGTGTGCAGATGTGAGCTCCTTGTCAGGGTGGGCTGGAGTGGGGAGGGGAGGCAGGTCCTAAGCCCTGAAGCTTGGACCTCAGCTCCTCGGTGTGCACAGAGTGGCAGTGCCAGCAGCTGGTGTCTCAGGGACCCTCTGGCCTCTCAAAGACGGGGATCCCAAAGGCCCCACCCTCACTCGCAGTGTCCGTTGTAAATTGAACGCTTTGGGGTTTGGGGAAGGTTGCTGTCAGGCCACTAAGGGACGCTCGGACTGCAGCAGTTGCGGCGAGCACGTCGCAGCCCTGGACCACACGGAGAAGCCGGGTGCTGCGGGAGGAGGCATTGGTGGGCTTGGGACCCTCTGCCACCTGGTGCATAGGGATAAGCCCTGAGGACTCCAGCTCCTGTTTTCCCTTTTCATTCAGAGCTTTCTAAGAAGGACTTTGAGACCCAAAAGAGTTCAAAGAATTTGGCAGTGAGTGCCCACACATGCTCACTCAGGTGTGTTTTGCCCTATTTATTTTGTTTGTTTTTATGGTGCTGGGGACCAGGCCTGGGGCCCTGCGAGTGCCAGCTGTGTGCTCGTGGCCCTCCTCAGCCTGTGTGTGCTGAGAGAATGGCTGGACTTAGGAATGGAGCTGCTTACCACGTGGGCTGGGGCAGCAGTGCTTTCCTCTCTGCGGGCCTGGGTGAGGGCTCGGGCTCACCGTGTCTCTTCGCCTCCCGGGCTCCACAGTAGGTACAGCTCAACTCTTTCTCCCAGTACCGGGAATCACCTCAGGACTCAAGCTTGCCGGCAGCGCGGTGCACCTGGTGGAGGCATTGCAGGGGATGCAGGCCTGCTCCTCCCAGTTGCCCTGCCTGCTGGCCCCAGGGCCACCTTGTGTTTTGTGCTCCACAGCCCCTCTGGCTGTCTCTCCCTATGTCTGTGTGTCTGCAGCCCTTCTCCTGAGGGCTGAGGTGAGCAGGACGGACCTCAGCGGGAGAAGGCTATGCTGGAGCCACGGCAGGGGGTAGCGGCTGCTGGCAGCCTCCACCGCTGAGTGCTGCTGGGAGAGCAAGTGGGGACAGAGCCCGTGCCCGGGCCTCCCCTCGCTGTGCTGCCATTTTTCCCCTTAGTCCATTGCGCACCTTGGGCCCATAGAAGCTGCTGTCCCTGTCCCACGAAGGTGGGGACAGAGGCGACACAGCATTTGTTGGCAGTTTTGTGGAGAGCTGTGTGCCGTGCCCTGCAGCCGTCCTCCTCGGGGCTGAACGCAGCCCCCAGGTGTGCGCGTGCGTGTGCAGGAGGCTGCCGGGTGGGCTGCCGTCCTGCCCTGCTGCTGCTCAGTGCTGCGGCGTTCTGATTGCGGTCTGGAGCTCAAAAGCTCCAGTTCCTGTGTGTGCATAGAAAGGAAAGTCACAGAGTGAGAGAAGCATGTCCTCACAGGCTGTCTGCACAGTGCCCTTGTCACCTCAGTGCTGTCCAGGCAGTGGCACGCAGGGGTGGCACCTCTGTCCTCTGTGTCCAGGTGCATGCTTCCACCCTGAGAAAGGCAGGCCAGGTGATGGTGGCGAGCGCTGAGCACTGGTGGGGATGCCCAGGAGGGGCCTGCAGCTGTGGGTGGGGTAACTGGGCCACCCGGAAGTCCTCCCTGGAAAAGTGTGAAGCCGTGCAGACATTCTGGGGCGTGACCTGGGACTTCAGCCTGTAGGTGTTTCCCTCCTTGTTTTTCATCATTTCTTTACAGTGTTTTTCATTTACCTTCAAACAAAATCATATTAATGTCACTCCTGTATTTTGTAGTTTTTCAGTTAAGGTAGTGAGCATTCTTTCATGATACACTGTTGGTGCTCTTTTCTGGGTGTTGCATGCTGGGCGAGCAACCCTCAGGCCGCGCCCCGGCCCTACACCCAGGGTCTTTCCGGCCTGAGTGCAGCACATGCGCAAACAGCTCCTGACCCTGAGGACAGCCAAGAGCCTGCTGCCCAGCCTGCTGCCGCCACCCGCAGCACTCCACTCTCGGGGCAGATGGGCCAGGCAGGCGTGGAGCTGGCGGGAGTGCAGCAGCCTACGGACTGTGCTGCGACGGCCTTGAGCTCTTGGCCTGGCCTCTGAGAAGCCTTTCATTTGGAAACAGCTGCACGATGCTGTCTGCATCTCAGTCCTCTTGCCCAGCTCTGAGTCACTTCCCCTGGTCCAGATGGGTTTCCTGTCCCCTCCATGCGTCCTGGTGCTGCGCAGCCCAGGCATGCCGGGATCAGCAGGGCAGGCGCTGGGCACCTTCGCACAGTTGTGCGTCTTTGGCTCCGAGAGGGAAGAGCTGCAGGCTCCAGCGAGGCCCCAGGCTTGGTTTTGAAGCCACTGTTGGAAAAACAGAAAAGCTGTTTATTTGCTGACAGTGCCGTGAGCAGCTTCGCAGAGCAGCGGTTGGTGGCATCTCTCAGTGCTCTGCATTCTTTGTTTTGCCAGAAGGGAAATAAGCGGTCTCAACTCACAGCCAGGTTCCTTCCAGTGAGGGGATGTTGGAGGCTTCCTGCTCCGAGTCGGGTGGATCATATCCCAAGGGCATTTGCTGATTGCAGACTGGGCTCAGTCTGGGCCCATTGGCAAGTGGGGTGGTGAAGGACAGGTCACCTGCTTGGCTGGAACTCCCGGGCAGCCCTGCAATGTGTGTACGAACTCTGCCCTCTGTGGTGGGGTGGCCAGTGCTGACACCCAGATCTGTGGCGTGCTGTGACCCAGGCAGGTTTCCACAGAATGCCCCCCTCTTGGGGCTAGCAGGACTGCACCTGTGCTGGACGGTGTGACAGCCGCCAGCACGTGAGACTGTTAAGGACCTAGACCGTGCCTAGCACTGCCAAGAAGTTTAGTTTTATTCCATTTTAATTAATTTAAACTTGGATGTTTACATGTGGCTGTGGCTGCAGTGGTAGACAGGGCAGGAGTGAAAGCCTTCCCTTACTCGCAGCCCTCAGAGCAGTGTTGTTCTAGGCACGGTCTGGATTGTTGTTAGAGAACTAAAACCAGTCATACACGACTTGTCAGGGCCTCACCGACTCCTGGGACCCCCACTCCCAAGTCTTTTGTCCCCACAGCTTCTGGGGGTCCCTGAGCCCAGTATCCCTGACACAGCCTCTAGCTGTGGAGGAAGGTGTCCTAGGTACCCCTGGTGCTTGGTCAGAGTGGCCTCACTTGTGGAGATGCCATGTGGGGCCCTGGGCACTTCGTCCTTGTGCCCTGATGCCTGGCCTGGTGGGTGCAGGAGCTGTGTGTTGAGCTGAGCCTGCCCTCAGCCCCTGGAGCAGTGCTCCAGGCCTAGTGTTCACTTCTGCTCTGAGGAAAGATTTTGGGCAGGGGCGTAGCCCCATGACAGCGCCACCCGGCCTTGCCTCGCAGTGGAGGGTGAGCTGCAGCCAGGACACACAGGAGGACCCTGTGCCTGGAGGATGGCTGCAGGTGTGGCTGCCCGGTGGCCCAGCAGGCCGCACAGAGGCTGTCTCCCATGGGAGCCTCAGGCCAGGCGCTCACCTCTGTCCCTCCCTAAGCTGCCCCACAGCCTTGGCCCCTGCTGCCATCCATGTGTTGTGGTCTCAGCAAGGCTCTGGCAGGGTCCCTGGCTGGCCAAGACTTGGAGGCCTTGCTTTGAAATCACTGAGCCACAGCGTCCAGGTTACCACGTGTGAACCTAAGGCTTCCTTCGTTGTGTATATAATGTTTCCTTTACTCTTACAGTGAGCGTTGAAAAGATAGACCTGAAGGGATTATCACATACAAAGAGCGACAGGACCGTGGAGTGCTCCTTTGAGGTAAGACGAGGCCTTCCCCTGCCCACTGCCCTTCCCTGAGTGTGGACGTGGCACAGGGCCGGTGGCCCCTCCTAGGCGGGCTCAGGTCAGTCTGAGTGCCTGCGTCTTTGCTGTGGCCTGGGCCAGGCTGGACATTCTGAGCACACCTCAGGGCGTGTGGTGAGTGATGTTTGGCCCTCTGCGTGGCAGGCCCGAGGACTGCCAGGTGGGCAGAGGAGACCTGCTCCCTGTGGGTGGATGGGCAGCCCCCTGTGAGTCCGTGAGACTCATTCCTAAGGAATGAGATGTTCGGACTCAAGGACCGAGCCCTGCAGAGTCCACGTCATGGCTCCACTTTTGTGAGGACCTCTTAGCCTCGTGGTTTCAGGGTGGCCAGGGCCCCAGCCTCAGCATCTTCATTCCTGGCAGCAAGATGCCTGGAAGGAAGGACATTTCTGAAAACAGCTGCTTATGTTCTCTTGTCCACAGTTTAACTTCTTGGTCCCGTGTAACTGCGGTCGAGGCAGGGAGCTGCATTCTGGCTGGCTGTGTCCCTCTGCAGTCCTGACTGTGCGACCTGCCCTCGTGTCGTGTCAGGTCTGCACCGGTCATGCTGGCCACCCTGCCTGCTGACTGCTGTGCGCAGGCCTGCGTGCCTGCGGGCTGTGGCTGGGCCAAGTGCTGTTCCTGCCTAGGGTCTTGTCTTGTGTGCCGAGGCTGGTGCTGGGCACGAGAAGCCACACAGCCCAGGCGGGGCTCACGGGGTGGAGGCCGCTGGAGCCTCTGCACTGTAGAGTCCTCAAATGCCGGCGTCCTCGGTCCTGGGGGCCAGCAGGTGTGCAGGTCCCTGGAGCTGTGTGGTGGCCCCTGACCTCGCTCTCCCTTCCCCGTGGGGATATCACCATGCGCCTGCAGCAGGGCTGCATCTTAGGAGCGTGCTACGTGCAAAGCCACTGTCGAGTTGGCCTTGCTGCCACTGGTCACAGTGGGGCTTAGGCCCCCATCCCTGGGATGCCACTCTGGCAAGGCCCAGGCCTGTTAGCAGTGTGTGCTAAGTAACATCACAGCCAGGATGTCTGCAGCAGCCTGTTTGGGAAAAGGTGAGCAACCGCTGCCAGCCTTCCTGCTCTGCTGTGACAGCGGGGAGCAGCCGTGGCCTAGGCATGCAGCCGCACAGGCCATGCTGCACTGCCAGCGGTGCTGGGGCCTGGGTAGGCCTTGTCTGCCTGTGCTGAAAGCAGCCAGTCTCTGGTGACAGGGCAGGCCTGTGCAGGGCCACCATGTGCTGGTTGGCGCTGTGCCTTCTGCTCTGTGACTGGGCGTTGTTAGGATGCACAGCTGTCAGTGCTCCTGGGTCCATCGGGTGGCATGGGGCAGCCGCTCCTCTGCGCCCCCCCTGGGCCCTGGGGCTGCTGCATCGGAGACCACAGGCTGGGAGGAAAGGGCAAGAGAGTGCTGTGCACCTCCCGCCCCCTCCACTGCCTCTCTCCAGCTCCCGTCGCAGCCCCAACTCAGGAAAGTGATCCCCATGATACCCAGGCCTCGTGGCTGCGTGAGAGTAGGCGGCCCCAGGAGAGCCCTCGCCCTGCACCTGGCGGGTGGCAGCCCTGGCCCAGGGAGCCTTCTCTCTGTGTCCCCGAGAGAAGGAATGCTCCTGGGCCCTGTGTAAAGTGCATAGTGGAGTCAATGTGTGGAAGCAGCCGATCTTTAGTTTTTTAAATATTTTAACATAACATTAAGAAGGTGGCCATGGACACAGAGCTGGGGGGATGTGTGACCTGGTTTTTGGGAAGCTGGTGTACTGTGTCTGGCTTCCTGGATGTGGCTGTGGTTCCTGGGGGCTGTTGGGAGCACTCCGTTTTCTGTAGTTCCAAGGGTCTTGCTGCCGCCTGTGGTGCATGGGGCTATGGGTGTGGGCCTGGGGAGAGGGCTCAGCACCGTCCCTGGGAAGATGCCATTTAGTGCTGCAGCAAGGAAGGCCTCAGCCTGCTGGACGTGCCAACCCCAGGCTGCAGCCCATGCCTACTGGTGGGAATGCAGCGTGAAGCACATGTGTGGTGAGTTTGCTACCACTCTGGGGTGACTGGCCACCCTGCCCGGACACTGGCCACGCAGAACGTTCCCCACGGTGGTCCTGGTGGTGCCCAGAGTGTCCATGTGTCTGTCCCCAGGAGGATGGACTCTGGGGCCTGCACTTGGCTCATGTACAGCAGCCCGGCTGTAGGACAGAGCGGGCAGTGACCTGTGCTGGTCCTGCTTCCCAAAGGTGCTCTGTGTCGAGCCATGGGGAGTGCAGGCGAGTCCCAGGGAGGGTGACAGCGGCCCCAGAGGCCATGCTTGGATGCTGCAGTCAGGGTCTCGAGCGGTGATTTTGAGTGTTGGGGGGGGCTGTACGCTGTAAGAGTGGCTTGTGGCCAGTCGTGACTTGAACGCTTCAGATGTTCCTTGGGAAGGAACCGCGATCCCTGTGCTTACCTGCGCAGGTGCTTTAGTCTGCAGAGCTGTGTTGCCGACCCTGAAGTAACTTTTCAAAGGAAGTTTTATCACACATGATGCATAGGGAAGGAATCATACACAAGATTTCCCCAACTTCTAAAGCACCTCTGATGATTGTAGAGTTGTAAGAACTTAAGAGGTTATTAAAAATGCTGGGAAACAGCTCTCCGGAGGCTGTAAAGAGGCAGATCATTACGAGTCCCATCTAATAGTGAGACCCTGAACTCCCTATAGACCTTTCCTAAAAAAATAAAATAAAAAAATGCTGGGAAAAATAAACTCTTTTGTGTTTTAGTGGGGCCAGGGCCAGGGCCCTTGTGCTGAGCTGCGTGCCAGCCCTTTTATTTACTTACTTTTTTGTGCTTGAGACAGTGTCACTCACTGCCAGAGTCACCTTAGCTTGTGGAACGGGGATTGAGCTCGGGCCCCTGCGCTTGCCAGGGAAGTGCTTATTCTATTGAGCCATCTCCCTGGCCCTGGACTTTTGTATTTTGAAGTTTATCATCTCTGGGCCAGCCAGATAGCTCAGTGGCCTAAAGCGCCTTCTTAGGCAAACTTAGGCAGGTGATGAGGACCGTGGTTTGTCCCTGGCACCACATGCCATGCCAGCCCTGCCTTCAGGATGGGCTGAGCCAGCCAAAAAAAGTTTGTTGTCTCCATCCCAACGCAGTATTAGCTACTCCGGATATCTTGTTTTGTTAGTGAGGATGGGTCTCAGGATCTGGGGACTGAATCTTTCCACTGTCCCCTGCACTGTGTGTAGTAAGAGAGCCCAGGGACTCTCCGGGGTGTGGTCAGGCTCTGGGGCTCTGGGCGCTGGGCCCGCTCCCTTCCTGGGTGGCCCTCAGAGCTCCCGCGTGGGGGAGGTAGCCTGAGACTCCTGGGCACTGTCTCTGCGGGGTGGGGTGGGGTGAGGCTGCGTCTGCAGGCAGGACGTTGCCCGGGAATTAGTCTGCTTGGGGGCGCACGTCACTGTGCCCTGAGGGAGGCGCCTTTGTCCCTTCCTTTCACTGTAGCTGGAGGTGTGGTCTTCCTGAGGGCAGAGCTCGAGAGCTGCCAGGTCCTCCTCCTAGTGGAGACAGAGACTCTGTTAGAGCTCACCTGCTGCAGGCAGGGGTGAGGGTGCGGTGTGGGGAGTGAGACATGGAGGAGGCCCTTGCATGCTTCCTGGACCTCGCGAACTTGCTGGAGCGGACCTGCAGCTGGTTGTGAGGGGACAGTGGATGTGGGGTGTGTGCTGATGGGTGGCAGCTCTGGGGCTCTGGCTTCTGTGGACCGAGCCCAGGTAAACTCGGTGTCTCTGCCTCAGGTGATGAGACACTTGTGTCCATTTTATTTCCTTTCTTGAAACCCTCCAGTGGCTCCTGGACTTTAGGTCGAGCATTTTGTGTTTTCTAGTCTGCCTGCCTGTCCCTATTGCCACCCCAGTCACTGCTGTGACCATTGTGGCTCTTGAGACATCAGGTCTCGCACAGGAGCTGTCCTAATGTATGCGTGACAGCCCATGAGGGCGGCACCATCAGAGTGCAGTTGTGCCTAGGGCCTGTGCGAGGTCCTGCAGCCACGTTGGCTGTCAGCCAGTGTAATGGCCTGTTCCGCGCGGGGCCCACAGGGCGCAGGCCTCTGCCGGCACGTCCTCCCTCCTCCGTGGAGGCCTGGCTGTGCTGCCTGTTGGCTCACACTCTGAGGCTATCCCTGTGGTCCTGCCAGGGCCCAGGACAGAGGCCCCGCCCCGTCTTGTGCTGGTGTAGACAGCATCCACTACAGCAGGTGCAGCTCTCCTGCCCAGAAGGCTCATTCCTGGGTGCTCCCGACGTGCACCCAGTGTCCCATGTTCCCAGCTAAGAAGAAGCTCCTGAGAAGCAGGCCGCTGCGCATGCAGGGCGTTACGGCTTTTCTAGGACTTGGGAGAGCAAGCTTGGGAGCCCATGCTCCATCACTGGGCACAAGCCGGGAAGTTGGGCGTTCATGGCCTCCAGTCCTTCGACCACCCTTGGGAGTGAATTTCAGGCTTGGAGTTACTGCGCTCCCCGCGTGCTTGTAGATCTTTCCCCGAAGAGAGTTTGGCCACGTGTTGAGCCCAGTGTGTGTTCTGTGTGCAGCGTGTTTGTTTGTTTTCAAGGTCCTGTGGTCTGACTCCTCAGTAACATCTGTGACCAAGACATCCCCAGAAGTGACTGAGTTCATCTCCAAGGTAAGGTTAGGGTGAGGGGTCGGGCTGTCTGCCCGCAGTGCTGTGCCAGCTCCGCGTGCCCACTCGGCGTGCCTGCTGTGTGGTCGGACCTGTATGGCTGTGGCCTGCCTGTGCCTGCTGTGCATGTCAGTCTTTTTTTGTTTGTTTGTTTTTAAATTGGCTCAACAAAGGGCATTTGAACAAAAAGTTCCGCTACAAATACTGTTTGGCCTACATGTCCACACACGTCCACACGTATTTAAAGTGCCTCAGCCTTAGTTTGTCTAAAATGCACAGCTCCACTGAGGCGTGGTACAGAGGGCCCCCAAGGAGCATCTTTGAAGGTCTCCGTGAGGGAGGGTGGGCTGGCGAGCCCAGGGCTGCGCCCCTAGGGGGCCAGATTTCCAGGGGTGCCTCCTCCCATGTGCCCAGCAGTGCTCTTCCTGCAGATGGCAGCTGCTCCTGGTGTCACGGAGACATCTTGTGGGCTCCTGCCTGGAGAGCCTGGCCTTCTGCTGGCCTTCTGTGGGCTAATGACTACCCCACTTGGGTCCTCTGGCCTCCAGAGTCTCTGGCCCATCTTTCCCACAGGCTTCTTTCCCCTCTCCCCCACATGCACTCCTGCCACCACTGTTGCCATCACTGGGCCTCTGGGGGAGGCCTCTGCTGCCCCTTTGCCCAGCCCAGGAGCTCACAGAGTCCGTGGAAGATGCTGCCCCTTGTCTCTGGCTCTGTGGTGGTACTTTATTCCCCAGCTTTTCCATGGCACATGTCTTACAATGAATCTTGTCACTACTGAAAGTCACCCCCATTTGTGCAGCTATCCATAGTTTTTGCTCGGAGACAATTTCTTGTCCTTCGCCCTACACCTCAAGGGCTTTGGCATGGCATTAGGAGCGAGGGCCTGAGGACGAGCACTGTGGTTTGTACCTGGTTCCTCACGGCACCTGCCCGCCCCAGGGGTGTGCTCGCCCCCACCAGCCCCTGGAAGAGCCAGGAGGTGAGGGTGTACCCCACGTACCCATGGTCTCTCGTGACTTTCTGGCCCTGGGCCTTTGCAAGCCTCCTGACTTGTCTGCTCTTGCAGTTATCCCAGCTCTGTCCCGAAGAGAACCTGGACAAGCTTGTTCCATGCCTGGCGGGCCCAGATCCCTTCTACGTGGAGCGCAGCCACCTGGACCTGGAGGCCGGCCTGAGGTGGGTGGGGCTGATGGTACATCTCTCTGCTGGGGTCTCCACCCTCAGAGTCCTAGCAGCAGGGGGCGGGGCGGGCTCAGAATGCCCAGGGGACATTGTTGTCCCTGGGGAGGAAGACCAGAAGTGCTGAGGTTGGAGTGAGGCTGCACAGGGTAGAGAAGGACCTGGCCAGTGCTGTCAGAGCCGCTGTCATGCCTGTGATGTGTGGCCACTGATCCCCTACAGGAACTCACAGCACAGCTCCTTATAGGCCCCCGTGTGGCGCAAAGGCTGAGAGGAGGGATACAGGAAGACGCTGGGCGCTGCAAGTAGCAGGAGCTGTCATCCTGAGCCCCAGGAGGCTGGGGCTCACACAAGGTCCCGAGCTCGAGCCCGGCAGGGCAGCCTGGCAGCTTAGCTGGGCTTCTGTCTCAAGATAAAAAAGTAGTAAGCATAAAGATGAGTTGGGGAGGTAGCTCCGTTCAGAGGGGCCTCCGTTTTTTCAGTACTACAAAAAAATATATATATCTTACTTAAAAAAATACATTTTTGTCTTTTTGAGACAGGGTTCTGCAGCTCAGGCTGGCTTTCAGCTCACTTTGTAGCCCAGGCTGGTCTCAACTCGCAACGATCCTCCTGCCCAAGCCCCCTGAGTGCTGGGATGACAGGCTTGTGCCACCACACCCAGCTCAAAAAATATTTAAAGCAGGCACTCTAATTAAAATTATGGCACTTGGATTTATTTTTTCTCTAATATCTTTTTCTCTTAATTAAAAATTGAAATTCCTCCCTAATCGGTTTTATTAACGCTTTGTTAATGCTGGCACAACGTGGATCTTCAGGTATTTGGCTTCGCTCCCTTCTCACGTACTGAAAAATGACCACGTGAAGAAGTTTTTCGGCACTGCACCTCCTGCCCCGCAGCTCCAAGGCCCAAGTGAGTCTGTCACCTGACTCTCAGGCCAGGGACATGCGCACACCTGGGGATGCCCACGCGGTGTATTTTCCTACTTGTAGGTCCTGGCAACCCTCCCCTACCTAAAGTGGGCACCGTGATGGGCACGTCTGGAAGGTGAGCGATTGGGTCTGGGGGTGCTAAAGGGACCAGGCACTGCCAGCTCAGCCCTTGATGGCCCGAGGCTCTGGAGCTATCGGTTTTACTTTTTAAAATTTTATGTATTTGGTACAGGGTCTCACTACGCAGCTCAGACTTGTAGTGATCCTCTTATCTCAGCCTCCCTAGCACTGGGATTATGTGCTACCACACTGTCTTGGTAGCTGGCATGGCATGCCCAGGGCGGGGCCAGCCAGGTTGCCAGCATGGCATGTAGTACTGGGGTCGAACCCGGGTCCTCGCGCTTCTCAGGCCGGTGCTTTAAACCGCTGAGCCATCTCCGTGGCCCCGTTTTACTTTTTGACTCATCCACATTGCCTGGGTACTTGGCAGTGACATGAACAGTCTGTGGTGACAGGCATGTACCTCTGCGTGTGCACACAGGTGTGCAAAGTGCTACACATTTGCAGACATCCCTGGAGGGTGGGGCTTGGGGCAGGGGTGGGAGCAGTGGCCTTCTGCCTGCATTTGGGGGGGACCGGGGGTCCTACGGGACACGAGAGCTCTCTGGGAGCCCCTTATTACAGTCGCCGCCTGAAAACTGTCTCTGTACCTGCCTGTCCCCATGCCACAGGCCTGTGTGTGGTGTGGCTGGCATCCCCTCCTCTCAGAGCAACACCCAGCACCACCTGCCCCATGCGGCCAGTGCAGGCTCTGCGCTGGCCTACCGCGCCCAGGTGGACACTGCACCTGCCATCCTCATGCCATCTGGCCTGCAGGCCCCTCAGCCACAAGAGCAGAACGGCATCCTGGACTGGCTGAGGAAGCTGCGGCTGCACAAGTACTACCCGGTCTTTAAACAGCTCACGATGGAGAAGGTATGCGGTGTGTGCCCGGGAAGGGAGGCTCTGCGATGGGCCTGGGCGCGTGTACAAGGTCACACCCTGGTGGCAGGCAGCCCAGAGAGGAGTTGTACGACTGAGGATTCCGAGGAGTACCTTGTTGTCGCTCCTACCGCTGTTGCCAGAGTGCGGAAGCGTGCCTCAGTCTGGGTGTTGCTCATGGGTCGCAGGGGCTTGAACTCTCAACGCCCCCGCGGGACAGGAAGGGCTGCGCTGTTCACTGTGAAAGCCTCCTATTCAGAACTCTACCATAGAGCCAGAAATGAGCTTTTAGGAGTATTTATAATAACCTCGGCGTGGGGCTGGGGAGATGGCTCAGTTGAATAAATGCTTGCCTGGCAAGCGCAAGGGCCTGAGTTCAATCCCTGGCTCCGATTTAAAAAAAAAACAAACCAGAACCTCAGAGTGATAGATACTTTTCTAGCCAGGCTCTTATATGTAGTGTTCAGGCTGGCTTTGAACTCATGGCCATCTTACTACCTCAGCCTCCCAGCTCGGGCCAGCTTGGGCTACACAGTGAGTCCAAGGCCAGCCTCAGCTGCATGGTGAGATGCTGTTTCACCTTAAAAAAAAAAGGAAGAAAACAATTGTAAATCTTAAAAATAAGATTTAGCTAGCTGTGGTTGTGCATACCTGTCATCCCAACTACACAGGACCCAGAAGCAGGAGGGTGGTGAGTTTGAGGCCAGCCTGGGGAACTTGTCAAGATGCTGTCTCAAAATAAAAAGGGCGGGGGAACTACCTGCTCGGGCCCCTCTCCTGTCCCTCTCTTGGACGGGAGCTTTCTTTCTCTCAATAAATATATTCTGCTCATAAAAAAATAAAAAATAAAAAGGGCTTGGCATATAGCTCAGTGGTAGAGCACTTGCTGACATGGCTGAGACCCCTGGCTTCCACCCCTGCTACGCACAAAAACGAGAGATGTCACAAGCCAAGGTCATCAGTTCAAGTCAAATCTAATCAAATATAGGACGGAATGGAAGTGGCTGAGTGCAGAGCCTGGCCCGAGCGAAGGGCATGACCCGGCGTTTCCTCGGCCCTCTGGGTCAGACTGGTCCAGGGCTGTGTGCTCCATGTGGACAAAGCCTGTGTCCTGGACTGTTGGTTCCCCGCCCACAGGGCTATATTTGTGGAAGGAAAAGTGACCAGCAGAAAAACCATCTCCAGTCCCCTGCAGCCGCGTGCTCAGGCCGGCATCTCCCAGCAAGGGCTCTGTGAAGCCCTGCTAGGAGGGTGGGGCCGCTGCCCCGGCAGCTCTCTGTGGCAGTTGGGCTGTGACTGCTGCACCCCCCAGCAGAGGCCAGCCTGGCCACGGAGCGTCTGTGCAGGTGTCGTGCATCCAGGGTGCGGGACGTGGAGACGGTCCTGTTCCACGTGTGCCCAGCCTGCTCAGGTTTAATCTGTTAATAAATCCCAGAGGTAGAGGAGACACATCACGCTCACTCCAAGCTGTCTCCGGAGTCATCATAAAGTCGCAGTAACTTTGCAATTTGTTTCTTTTCTACAAGTTTTTGAGCCTTACCGAGGAAGATCTGAATAAGTTTGAGTCTCTCACCATGGGAGCAAAGAAGAAACTTAAGACTCAGCTGGAGCTGGAAAAGTAAGTGTGCCCTGTGCGGCACATGGCGGGGCACAGGGCCCGGAGGCTCTCGGCTGCTTTCCAGCCTTGTCTCTTACTGCGGCTGGAGTTAGAGTGCTCATGCGTGGCTGGCTAAGAAACGCCCCGAGCCGCGCTCCCAGCTCCTCTGGGGGCGGAAGTGCTGCCTGCTCCTTTGTTCTTGCTTCTTGCAGGGAGAAGTCAGAGCGACGGTGCCTGAACTCCACGGCCCCGACCTTGGTTACCAGCAGCGGAGTGGCCCGAGTCCCCCCTACCAGCCACGTGGGGCCTGTGCAGGCTGGACGCAGCAGCCATGCAGCAGGTGCGTGGGGCTCCCGCGGAGGCACGGTTGTTCTCTGGGTGAGAGCTGGACCACCCCTCAATTGCTGCCAATTGCATTTCTTAATCCTCATGTTTATTCTGCCTTGTGCAGTTGACAGCATGGGAGGGGGTGGGACGGGACAGGAGAAGACCCTGGAGACTACTGGATTGTGTGGCGAAAGCTTACATGCCCACAGTGACAGGGCCAGGGACCAAGGCCTCTGTCGCAGGAGTCTGCAGGCCCCAGGCCCTGTGTCAGGACTTGGTTCCTCAGCTGCTATCCTCCTCTTGGGGGAGGGTAGGGACACCTGTGATAGTCACTTTTGTCCCACCGATGGAACTAGCAAGAGCCAGTGTAAATCAGGAGGAAGCCAGCACCTGTTTGCTGTAAGTGGCTATTTGGCTAGAAGGATCTTTTGTCACCAGCCTGGGTGATGTCCTGTGGCACTGTCCTGGGAACCTGTGTGCTGCTGGGTGTGGGAGCCCTGTGTGACTCAGTGGCATGGTTCCCCGTGTGGTCTGAGGCTGGGGCCCTGTGGCTACCGTGGTGGGGACAGTGACACGGGACACTGACTGGGCCTTCTCCACAGAGCTGCGGGTAGAGGTGGAGCAGCCCCCTCACCAGGTGCCCCGGGAAGGCGGCAGCTCTTCTGAGTACTCCAGCTCCTCCTCCAGCCCCATGGGCGTGCAGGCGCGGGAAGAGAGCTCAGACAGCGCCGAAGAGAGTGACAGACGTAAGGCCCTTACCTCTCCCACGCACTGCCTGGCCTGGGTGGGCCAGGCACTGACGGCCCTGTCTGTCCCTAGGTGTGGATGTGCCCCTGGAGGGCTCCGACAAGGAGAAGCCTATGATGCTGCTGAGCCACTTCCCCTCCAGCTCCGCCAGGCCCACGGCCCAGGTCCTGCCCGTGCAGAACGAGGCCAGCTCCAGCCCTGCTGGCCACCGCCCCTTGGGCCCACAGCTGCTACCTGCCGCTGCGCACCTGGCCCCCATGCGGATGCTGAGCTCTGTGCACAGAGCGGAGCGCGGGGGCTCGGACGTGAAGCTCCTCGCGTCGTCCACGCCCTCGCTCCTGTCTCTGGAGGAGAGGGGCAGAGGGCCTGGGGCCCGGGGCAGCGTGAAGGTGGACAAGGGCTTCGGCAGTGCCGTGCTGGACGCCCTGCCCACATCAGCACCGCACCCGCCTGTGCAGGTCATCTCAGGACTCTCTGAGAGCGGCGCTGTGTCCCCTACGGTCTCCTTTGGTCCCCGGGCCAAGGTTGTGCACGCGGCCACCCTGGACAGGGTGCTGAAGACAGCGCAGCAGCCAGCCCTGGCGGTGGAGACCAGCACAACGGCTACAGGGACTCCAAGCACTGTCCTGCACGTGGCCCGGCCGCCCATCAAGCTGCTGCTGTCGTCCTCTGTGCCCTCAGATGCTGCCATCTCCGGGCAGACATCCTGCCCTAACAGTGTGCAGATCAGCGTGGCCCCCGCAATAATCAACCCCCGGACCGCTCTGTACACAGCCAATACCAAAGTTGCCTTCTCCGCCGTGAGCAGTGTGCCCGTGGGGCCTCTGCAGGGCAGCTTCTGCGCCAACAGCAACACTGCCTCTTCCAGCAGCCACCCCGCGCCCTCCTTCGCCAGCATGGCCACGCCGCCCAGCTACCCAGCCCCGAGCTCTAGCCCCGCGCTCTCTTCTGTTCCTGAAAGCAGCTTCTACAGTGGTGGCAGCGGCGGCAGTGGCTCCCCTGGGAACCTCCCTGCCCAGAGCCAGGGCCACCACCACCACCACCACCATCAGCAGCCCACAGCACCCCCACAGCCTGCGCCGCCCCCGCCCCCCGGCTGCATCGTGTGCACCTCATGCGGCTGCAGTGGCAGCTGTGGCTCCGGCGGCCTGACCGTGAGCTACACCAACTACTTCCAGCACCCGTTCTCGGGGCCATCCATGTTCACCTTCCCCTTCCTGCCCTTCAGCCCTGTGTGCAGCAATGGCTATGTAAGCGCCCAGCAGTATGGTGGCGGCTCTGCCTTCCCCGTCGTGCACGCCCCCTACAGCGGCAATGTCACACCTGACCCGGTCCTGGGTGGCCAGTCCTCCTTTGCTGTGCCACCCATGCAGAACTTCATGGCTGGGACCGCAGGCATGTACCAGACACAGGGGCTGGTGGGCAGCAGCAACGGTTCTAGTCACAAAAGGAGCGGGAACCTGTCCTGTTACAACTGTGGGGCCACCGGGCACCGTGCTCAGGACTGCAAGCAGCCGTCCATGGACTTCAACCGGCAAGGTAAATGTTCATGCGGCCACTGCAAGCTGGGTTGCAGCTGCGGTGCGCCCCACCCGAGCTCTGTGAAACCTGTGGAAGCCTCAGTAACCAGGGATGCCCCCTGGAGGGTCACTGCAGGCTCCAGACTGCTTGCTGCAGGCTGGGCCCTGTGCTGGGGTCTCCCCAGGTAGGAGGGGTTGATGCTGCCCCCTGGTGGACACTCTGGGTGGCAGCGCCCTGGCGACCCCACCTCCCCAGGGTGGCTGTGTGGGGGTCAGCTGGGGTCCTTCAGAGTGTCCCATAGTTTTGCAGCAGGTTGGTTCTTGCCCTTTCAGGAAGGCCAGATGGGGTCAGGAGGGCCTGGGCCAGCTCTGCCCGTGTGCGGTCTCAGGAGGTCGTCCTGTTGCTGGCATACTGAGCTACTTGTGCAGCTGGTGCCAGAGCCTTTTTTTTTTTAAATGTATACGGTGCAGGATCTCACAACACAGCTCAGACTCATAGCGATCCTCCTGTTTCAGCCTCCCCAGTGCTGGGACGACAGGTGTGCCATCAAGCTTGGTCTTGGTGGTTGGCTCAGTGTGCCTGGGGCTGGCGCGGCCTGTGATGCTGGGGATTGAACCCTGGTTGCTGCGCTTCCCTAAGCAGGTGCTTACTCTGCTAAGCCTTCCGGGCCGGCTCTTCCAAGAGCCTTCAGAAATCGCACCTGCAGCCCAGGGCAGGCGCTGTGTGGCCTCTGGGGCTGGCTGCCTCCCTCCCTAAGACCCTGTGGGACAGTGTGTAGGCCACGCCCAGAGGAGAAGCCTGGCCCAAGGAGGGCGCGGTGGTGTTTTCTCAGCCACTTGGCCTGAGGTGGTCTTTCCGCATGCGGCGGTGTGTGCGGTCCCCAGCCCAAGCCAGGGCGGGCAGTCGGCTGGTCTGTGGTACAGTGACTTACTTGCCCTCTTTCCCCCTCCAGGTACTTTTAGGTTGAAATATGCCCCTCCGGCCGAAAGTCTGGACTCTACAGACTGATGTTGTTCTCTGGCAACAGAAATTATTAAGCCATGGAGAAATAAGAAAAATTAAACACAAAACTGAGATGTCTAGTTGCTGTTGAGCTTAATATTTTTAATCCAAAGGTGCTTTACTTTATTAGACTGGATAGAAAATCTAGCGTAGACATGCATCAAACTCAATTTTATTGCCAAAACCCTAGATTGGAGCTTGAGGTCAGGACTTGCCGATGGGCCCCTGTTGGTGACAAGGCCATCTCCACCTCAGCATATTGAGAGACTCTTGTCTCCTGAAGAGCATCGCACGGCTGGTCCTCCAGGCTCACACACAATTCCAGGGCAGCTACGCGTGGTCTGGTCGGGACTGAAGGTCGGAGTCCTCCCGGAGGAGCCCCTGCGCAGACTCTGGACACCCTGGGTTAGGGAAGATGCCAGCTCCGTCTTGTCTCGTTTCCTTTTGTTTTCCCCAGAGGACTAGGCACGAGCCTCTGGGGCTTGGAGGGCTCGCACTACCAAGAATGTAACCGGTGATGTGGGTCTCCCGTCTGGGAGACTGCTCGATCCCAGCCAGCGCAGCAGACCCGGCTCCATGGAGTTGGCACCCGCAGGCGACGGCTCCGCGGCAGCCATTTCAGTATGTCCCTCCCTCCTTCACTTGTCGCAGTTCCAGGTTTTTAAGTTTTTTCCTGCAGGTCAACTTAGACTACATTAATAAGTAGAAATAGTTCATTGTCAACAACTTCATTTCTAAGGGTCCAAGTCCCAGGAAATCCAGTCCTCGAGGCTCAGCCTGCTCTCTGCACCACTATTGGCTTCTGCAGGACCCAGCGGCTGACGTCTCGAGTCGGCTATGGCCGATGCTGTTCACCCTTGGGGAGGCTGGCACATGTCGCGTTTGTGGGCTCCCCGGGATCCCAGCCGAAGGGCTGACGCTGGGAGTCGCACTGAGGTGGCTCCTTCAACCAGAACACAGTGCTGCAATGTGGGAGTGAAAGAACATGGTTGGAACATGGTTGTGCTGGCTCTTCCGAACTAGGCTGTGTTCTGACCGCCAATTCCGTTAAAAATCGCCTGGAGAACTTAAGGAGGGAGCGGTGAGACTCGGGCAGCTGGACGGACACAGGAAGCGGACACCACACACCCACATCGCTACATGGCAACTCGCAGGAGAGAGAGCATTTTGGTCTGAAATTTAGGGATTTCCGTCTTCAAGGTTAAAGGGAATTTTCTCAAAAAGCAACATTTAAAATGTTAAAGCCTTCAATATTAAAATATTGACTGGTCGAGTCTTGCCAGGGATTTTCCAGTTGAATATTTGTTAAGAAGAAAGTCACAGTATTTAAGTATTTAGACCATTCGTAAAACGGGACAATCAGCCTCATGCAAAATTGTAAATCAGAAAAACAAAACTAGAATTTGAGGCCTTGTGATACAAGGCCTCAGATTGGTTTCCTGACTTCGTGGAAACTGAAGCAGCAGAAAGTTGTTACATTTTTTTATGAGAGGCTTTTAGTAGAGTTTTGTAGTAGTATTTTAGTAGAATTTTATTTCTATGCAGAATTGACAGGCCTCTGTGTTCTCTATTCATGGTACACAGTATTATGTACAGTTTTGAAGTGAACGGTGAGCTGTTAGGGGTGCTGCGTGAATCTCTTAAACACTACAAGGTGTCAAACAATGAGAACTGACACAACTTTGCCTTAAAGAGTCCCAGACTGGAATCTGTCACATTGTGTTAAAGGAAGACTTGCAGTGTTCATTGATGTTTACGACTTTAATATTTATGAAGGCCATTACGTGGCCTGGATATGTGCTGAAAGCCAAACTTTTAAATTTTTTGGTTTTTTTAAACAAAGAAATATTTTAAATAAATCCTAATTTCAACACAGTGAAATTGTTGAAAACTGTCTCATAGCAAAAGAAAAACATTTCAGTGTTTTGTTTTAGTGGTCAGTACAGGAAAAGGGAAGCTGTCTGTTGTTACCCTTACAGCTATTTTGATAAATATTAGAGGTTTAACCTGAGATACAACAAAAATCTAAAACAGAAACTCCACGTGAAGCATGACACTCAGAGCTGAGGTCACGAGCTCTGACATTGTCACAGCTGTGTCCAGGTGGCCAGAGGTCCCCAGAATCCTCCTGTTGGCTCGGAAAGTGGTAAGCAGTGACCTCTGAGCGGGCTGTCCCGTCGGGAACTGGAGATGGAGATGCGGCGGCGGCCCGTGCAGAGCACAACCCTGGACGGAGCTCTCCAAGAGCGAGCGCCTCGGCCACCAGCCAGCCCCGCAGCGCCCTGGGCTCGGGGCTCCGTTTCTCACCTGCGCATCTGCCTCCAGGAAGGGGGACAGTGGAGTGTACAGCGCCAGTAGAACAGTGTTGGGATAAAACAACTATTTAACCTTTCTGGTTTTTTTAAGCAAAATCTTTCCATTTTCTACCTTATTTTCTAATTTTTGTTTTATGGCAATATCAAAATTGGAAAAACGTTTGATGTTAACCTCCTCATTGCTGAATAGTGCTGAGGAGCAGGGGCAGCACCCCGCAGTGAATGCGGCATTGCCCTGAGCGCCGGCGTTGAGACTGAAGCGCAGCGTCCGCCTGAGCAGGCCCGTGGCTGTGGCCGCCACAGGGGCCGCCTGCTCGGCCGGCTGGGAGTCGGGCCGAGTGCACGTCCCCCTGGCTCCCCGACCGCGTGCCCAGCAGGGCGGCACCTGGGCCTGGGGGGTCCCCGGCGGGAGCTGGGCAACACCCCCCCTCCCGTCCCTTCTCACCTCCAGTGGCCATGCCTCAGCAGCCACGTTCTGGTGGCAGCGTCCCCTGCGAAGACTTACAGCTGTAAGGGAAACGTCTCCTTGCTAAACTTGTCCCAGCAGGCCAGCCGAGCAGCGGGCTGGGTCCTTCAAGGGCAGGTAACTCCCACAGAGCAAGTCAGGTGACACCGAGGGCCACGGGGCCTGGCGAGGTGGACTGTGGCTTGGTCCCGAGCACCTTGAACCACAGGCTGTGCTGGTGGGACAACCACGTCCCCGCCCCGCAGCCCTCCACAGGCGTTGTACCGACCGTGGCCCTTCTCGGCTTCTATGGGATATACTTTCTCTTTAGGAATGAAGGAAAACTCTCCCATTTTTGAGCCATTCTTTTGTCAATTCTACAAAATTGCATGTAACTTTATAAATATTTTTAAAAAATATAGTTTTGTAAATATTTAATATTCTGCTAATTTGATTTTGAATTGTAAATGTCAAGTATTGTTTTTGGGGTTTTTATGTTTTATTATACTTTGTTAAAAATGAAAAATTGTACATTTTTAGAATGTTTTTATGAGTAAATTTAATGTACTTAAAATAAAAATTTTAAAAAAGCCTGTGCCATCCCATTCTCAGTCTCCTCATGCAGGGCGCTCAAGGCCAGCCCCTGCTCTAGGACACCTGTCCTTCCAGGGCTCCTGCCTTAATAAATGCCTAACCAGGATGGAGTTCTGTGCTTGGAGAAAGGCGTTCAGAGGCGTGGCCAGCACTCTGGAGCCGGCTGGGGTGGCCCACCTTGCAGCCCTGCTCTGAGGGCGATGCAGGGCAGCCCTGGCCTACGGCTTGTCCTCAGGTTCCTCTGGGGCCGGCACAGCCCCCTTCCAGGTCCCAAGGCTGCACCTGTTTTTTTTTTTTTTTTTGGCGGAACCGGGGGTTGAAGTCAGGCCCTTGAGTTTGCCAGGGAAGCGCTTATTCCACTGAGCCATCTCCCCAAAACAGGCCCTGACTCTGCGATCCAGGCTGGCCTTGCACTCTTGATGAGACCTAAGCTCAGCCTCCTCGGTACTGAGATTGCAGGTGTGCACCGCCATGCCTCACCCGGGCTTTGTAAAACGCCAGCCACCCAGGACCTGGTCTGAGTGCCACAGCACACCTCCTCTACCAAGTGGATGCCAGCCACTGCCAGGGAACATGCTGTCCACACTGCTGTCTGGCCGTCACTGGTGGCATGTTCCCACACACCCAGGTCCCACAGCCTTCCAGCTGCCACAGGCCTCGGCCGAGGCGGGCCCCTGTACACTCCCCAGCCTGCAGCTACTGCCCAGAGTGGTGGCGGCGGCGGCGGCAGCGCACACAGGAGGCGATGCCCAGACAGCTCAGCTACATCTTTATTCACTTAATGTGTTAAAAGTGTACTGGTTTTAAATACCCTATAAACAAACATCAGCCCTGTCAGCGTGGTATTTGGTTTTTAAGAAGCAACAGTACAGGCACTGTATTGATTACACAGCGGTCACAAGGGTCTTGGTACAGTGGGACGTATAGTCTAAGGAAACAGGCGGAGAGCTTACACCGGCAGGACGCACAGGTCAGTCACTGCGGGGATGCGCACGCACGGCGAGGGCCCTGGCGCGGCCTTGCTGCTTCGCCCTCTGCAGCAGCAGGTGGCCCAAGCAGAGCCTGCTTTGGTGGCAGTGGGACTGACCTTTCTGACACTGCCACACGGGTCTGTGCAGCTGTGGGACGAGTCCTGTGCCTGGGCACACTGAGACAGCCAGCGGCAGGGCCCATCCCTGATGCCCCAAGTAGCTGCCACTGGAAAGCGCATTCCACGCCGCTCAGGCCACAGGCCAGGTGTGGCACGGGTGTTCCGCGCTCGCTTCCACCATGGCCTCAGGAGCCTCAGCCCAGAGCGATCCCAGCAGAAGAAGGGCCACAGCTCCCAGCTGCTTTGAGGAACACACAAGTGACACGACTCGGGGTTGCTGCTCCCACTGCGTGGCACCTTGAGCAGAACTCGTGGGGACTGGCTCGCTGCTCCCGCCTCTGCCTGCAGCCTGGTGGGCCTCGAGCTCTCCCGGGAGGGGAGGGACGCCCTTCGGGAAGGGCTCCGCGTCTCGACTGCCTCAAGTTAAGCTGCTGCCCCAACTGCAAGTTCCTACTAGGGGAAAAGCATTAAAATAATTGAAGGTGTGTTTTACTGGCAATTTAGGATGCAAAGTATTTTATTTTTAAATTTCTAAACTTTGAAAACAAGGTAGCTGCGATTAAATAATAGAGCTTTCCAAAGCTAAGTGTGCTCAGTGGAACTCAAGTTTTTCTGCATAAAATACAAAAACAACTTCCTGAACCTCCTAGGTGGGAACAAGACTGTCCTGACGACTACGCGAGCTGCACCTTCTCGGTTGTATCACCCTTTTCTCTCCTTGGCAAGGGCTCGGGACCTCCGTGCACTCTTCAGGCGCACACGCACAGCTCCCGCCCGAAGGTCTCCTGGGAGGCGTACACCATGTACAGGAAGCCGTCCTCGTCCTTCTCACTCTCGTACACCTCCGAGATGGGCGTGGACACGCTCACCATGCTGTGGCCGTTCACCAGCAGGAAGAAGGCCTGGTTGGCGTTGAGCTGCAGACGCCGCCTATGGCAGGAGCAACGCAAAGAGAACCCGCACGCCAGCACTCGCTGTCTGGAGGCTGAGGCGGCCCACCCACCTCCCCCGGCAAGACACAATGAGGACTCTCTCCCTCCTCCTAAAGCCCCGCCATGCCACTTCCTGACCGCACCTGTCATGAGCATCGGCTGTAACTGGACACAGATTGTCAGCCTAAGCCCACCCTAGAGAACACTGCTGCACACACTACCTCCCCCCACCTCAGTTTTGTTCCATTTTAAAGAATCATCCACACTAGCTGTTGCCTGAAAGAATGGGAGAGACCTGCGGTCCAGCACGGGAGAGGCGGAAGCCGCCATCCTGGCCAGGCCGGGGATGGACAGCTGCTCAGGGAGCCGGGACAGGAGGTAACGGCATACCTGATGATCTTGAGGAGCTCGCTCATGTTGACATGGTCAGGGACCAGGAACTTGGTTTTGTCCAGGACTGGCAGCTGCTTCTCGCCCTTGTATCGCTCTATGATCACCTGGGGAAGCCAGAGTGCCTTAGACCCAGGCATGGAGAGCGGGAGAGCAGCCAGGTGTGGTGGCTGCGCTCGTGCCTCAGCCTCCGGGCGAGCTAAGATGCCAGGAGTGCACCCCCACCTGGGCATGCAGCTCAGTGCGCAGGCCCTGCGTTCAAGCTCCAAAATTTCAAAACGCAAAAAGAAGCAAAGCGGGGGCCTGCCCCGAAGCCCAGTTCTTTAAGTGGCTGCTTCAGCAAAGCCGTCAGGCTCAGGCTGCTGTGGTTCTATCCCCACAGTTCAAGCCAGCCAAACCTGCCCTGAAGGCATTCAGAGCCAAAAAAAAAAAAAAGCAATAGCAAATGTGCCTCGCATGGCATGCCTGCCTCGGTGGGGCTTAACAATGCATTCCCTGGTTTCTTGGTAGCGTTGGGGGGAGGGCGGGGTGCGGGGTGCATCGTTTAGTAGCCGTAAGCCTGTTCCCGACAAGATGGAGCAGGTGGGGAAACAATTTTGCTATGTGTCCTTACATTTGGTCTGAATTTGGCACCATGACAAGTCACTGTCACAAGACCCCAAGCCACATGGGACAAAGGATGTGTATAGCAGCTTAGAGGGCTCCAGCAGTGCTGTCACCTCCAGGCCACCATCCTGTGTGTCTTCTTCCACCGGCTCAAGTGTTTTTCCACATTAGAAACTTTCTCTACTTGGTTTGAGGGAAATTCCAAGCAGCCTCTCTCAAGGCCAGAAGACACCATGATTCGCTGGTTCTAAAGGCAAACTTGGTGCAGTGACTGCAGGCTCCTGGTTTTCCGAGCTCCTGAGGACTGGCCCTGGGGCCTGCTCACTAAGTTACATCCCCAGCCTCTTTCTGCGAGGTCAGTGTCCAGCAGCACGTGGTGACGACCATGTGCCCTAAATCATGCCAATCTGCAACAGCCACTTGGCTGGGCCTCTCCCCATCTGACAGATGAGGATATCAGAACTACTGGGATTTCCGTTGTGAGTTCAAGATCCTTAGCAACCCTTATGACTTATGACAGCAAGGTCTCCTCCTGCCTGTGCGCTCCCCTGAAGAGCCTGTGCCAGACTGCCATGCGGTCACCAGGCGCAGGAGTGGGACACTCCGAGTGACAAGAAAGCAGTCTCTTACGCCAGGAATGGGGGGTACACGCCTGTAATGCCAGCCCTCCAGGAGACTTAGGCAGGATCACAAGCCTGAGAGTCTCAGCAAGACCCTGCCTCAAAATAAAAACTAAAACACGGGATATAGCTCATCGGAATGGGAATGGGCCAGTGCAATCCCCAATACCACAGCAACCAAAAAAAAAAAGGAAAGAAGAAAAAGAAAAGAAAAGAAGGGAGGGAGGAAGGGTGTTCTATGGGCAGGGCTAAACCCCAGAGCCGCAGAAGCCTCACAACTGATGATGACTTTCCCTGACAGAACAGCGCACTGGGGTGGAGCTCACAGAAGAGCAGAGCTGAGCGTGCGGCGGCTCTGGGTTCTAGCACCAACTGATGGACGCGAGCAAGGAACAGACCTAGCCCCATACCCTTCCTCCTCCTAGCCCCAAACCCTTCCTCCTTAATTCATTTGGCTTGCAAAATGCACCACATTTGAACAGCAAATTCAGATTAGGGAGAAGAGTCAACTGAATGAAACTGTGATTATCTGTCATTCTAGGCTACAGAGCTGACTGACAGGCCCCGAAAGTCGTAGATCCCTGGGGAAGCTCCATCCCCACAGAAGCAGCCAGGAACAGGAGCAGCAGGAGCCGGGCCTACCGGGATTTTGGTGGGATGCTGCTCTCGGATGAGCCGGACATCTTCTACTCTTTGTTCTGCAACAGAGAAGAGACACAAACATCAGCCCACATAGCTTCCTGAGCTGCTGTGGCCGCTGTCCCCTCAGCATCCTTTGTGGGGCCCAGGAGACAGTGCCACTCTCTCCTAGAACGCGAGGCCATGAACGCTAATGCCACACAGAGCAGTGCACAGTAAGATGAAGGCGACCACACAGCTCTATGCAGGAAGGTGGGTGCCAGGAGTTCGTGGCGCCTGAGGCCAGGGTTAAGCTTGCATCTGGGGACAGACCCTGAGCAAGTGGGTGGGGGTTCCTGTGTGTCCTCCGAGGGCCCCCGCCACCCAGGAAGTCCATGTGTGCTTGTTTCCTGTAGTTCCCTGTGATCCCGGGTCGCTTGGACACTACTCAGTGCAGTGTCCTTTCATCACTTCAGCTCTGAAGGAGCTGTTGGGAGAAAGCTGGCGCTTGAGTTTGTAATCACTGCTCAGTGCCTCAGAAACCAAAGCTCCAGTCACAAAGTCTACTGCAGGGGCTGGTGAGATGGCTCAGTGGTCTAAAGCACCTACTTAGAACAAGCTTAGCAAAGCACCGGGACCGCGGTTCAATCCCCAGCACCACATGCCAGCCAGCCCCGCCCCCTGGTGGGCTGAGCGGGCCACACACACACATACACACACACACATAAATAAATAAATGTTTAAAAAAAATCACATAAAAAAAAAAAAACCAAAGTCTACTGCGGAGTGCTTTGCTGAGAGTCCATTTAACTTCAATATAATCATCTATTTTCAACAACATTACTATGCTTTCTGCACCACACAGGAAAAAGATAAGCCAAGGCCAGTTCTCAGTAGCCTGATCATAAGCCAAGGTACACGCATGTCATTACAGAGCAACATGTGAACATGTGATGACAGGGCATAAGAGAAACCTCAGGGCAAGATTAACAAAAACTACCTCAGTTTTAGACATGTGTTTGATGTCACAATCTTCCCTTTTTCTCTAGGAAAAAAAGATGCCACGATTGATATAAACACAAAATGCTAGTTTCATCTGATTAAATTTTTTTCATCTTTTACAAACTATTGAAATCTCTGTTTACTTGCAGCAATAGAAATTCTATTTCTATCTTCCCACATAACATCTTATCTCATATTAACCCCCCACCCTTTGACTCTGAGACAGGGTCTCACTGTGTAGCCAAGGATGGCTTCAGTCTCACAGGACCCTCCTGCCTCAGCCTCCAAGAGTGCTGGTGGGACTATAGGTGGTGTCCACCAGCTAATCCCAGTTTTTCTTTAGTTCCAAATTAAAGTCACTCTTCCACCACATTCACTATTGTCAACTGTTTTTTTCTTGGTTTCAATTCATCAGTAGGCATCTGCATTACAAAATTTAATGATCACATTCCTTGTCCCACCCAACACTTTAAAGTTTAGCAGTTTAATAGTGGCAAACCTATGGCACAGGTGTTACTATATTTTTAAGACAGAAGACATAAATGTAAATGAGTTATGTTTTATTTTGTTCTCATGGTTTTCTGAGGCAGGGTCTCACTCTGTCGCTGGTCTTGAACTCGCAGCAACCCTCCTGCCTCAGCCTGAGTTCAGGATCACAGTTGTACACGTCCACATGCAGTAAAGCTGTCTTCCCCTCAACTAAAAGCTCAGTGCTCGGATTTAATCGCAGTGCTGACACCATGCGCTAGGGGACTTGGGCTCAAAAGGCTCACCACTGCTGCCTCCCTCGGGGCTAAGAGTATCTGTGCAGGCTTGCACAGCGAGCCCTCACCTTACACATGAGCCAGTCTGCGTTCCTAACCCCACAGGGAGTCCTGTTCACCTTCCATATAAATTATAGCATAAGGAAGGCCAGTACACAAAGATACTGTATGTCACACAGTAGCACAGCGGTGGCAGTGTCGGCAGACACACCTCCTCCAGCGATGCACTGACATCTTGTGAGGTCCATTTGCATCTGTGAAAGTTGCCACTCTGAAGTTGTGAGTTAGGGACTTACCGTACTCCTACTGAACAATGTGAGGATGCAGATAAGTCTAGACACTGTTAACAGTAAACTGGCTGGGCATGGTGGCATACACCTGTAATTCCAGAGTTTGCTTGTAATCCCCACACTACGGAGGCTGAGGCAAGAGGATCCCATCAAGGTCAGACTGGACTACACATGGAGACCCTGCCTCAACAAAACAAACAGCACACTGGACCCAGCAGCTTTCATGCTTTGCTCCCTCCCCACTCCTGCGCCTCTCTGAGCTCTCCTACCAGAACCAGGCAACGAGACTGGCCTCTGTCTCTCTCCCAAAGAAGCCTCCGCTGTCAGTGTAGGTCACTTGGGGGTGGAGGGGAAAATTGCATTTCATCAATTTGCTCTAACAGGTAAGCAACTCTTTCCATATCATCACATGTGCTGGGAGGCCCACAGCTGTAAGCCCAGCCCTTTGCTGCCGGGTCAGAAGCTCTGCCTGGGGCTGCATAGGGAGATCCTAGCTTACAAAAACAAATCAAAACAAGTTATCCTAGTAAACCTGCAAGTAGCAACTAGAGGGAAAGAGGTTTTCTATACCACAGAAAGGAAAGATGAAATCGCAACACAAAGGAGACAAGTGACTCCCAGGAGGTGCAAGCCAGCCATAGGACAGCTCTGTGCCTGGGCAGTTGCTCGGGAGCAACTTCTGGGGTCCCTGCAGCTGCTCCTCGAGGTACTTTCTCTGTAGGCGGCTTCAGGGCAAGCCACTAGCTAACCTCCCACAGCCTCCCAGGCGGGTTCACAGGCAGCAAGGGACTCTTCCTCCCCCTTTTTTTGGGTGCTGCATCCTGCCCCAGGCCATCAGGGACCCCACCCTGTCCCCTCAAAGATGGTAGATGGCTAAAAGAAAGCTGGAAGGAGCTGCCCTCTCGGTGCCTTTCTGGCCTCTAAAAACTCCTTATTTTTAATTTTATTTTTTGGTGGAACTGGAGATTGAACTCAGACCTTTGCGCGTGCCAGGCAAGCTCCTTAGAAAGTTGGGCGTGGTGCAGCGTGCAGATAAGTCCAAAAACCTTGTAGTTGGGAGGCTGAAGTAGGAGGATCACAGATTTGGGGCCAGCCCAGGCTACACAGCAAGACCCTATAGGCAAACAGCCTTAGAAGCCTCTCAGGCAGCCGCCGTGGCAGTGGCAGGCTAAGGTGTGTGTCTTGCTTGCTGGCATGCCATCTGCAAAGCCCCTGGGGATATCCTAGGACACTGAAAGTAGGCTGCTGTTTACACACACCTCCCAGGATTTGTTTCACTGAGTGACCGGAAGCATTATAAATATACCCAGTCACTATCTCTGCGCTGTAAAGGGACACCCAGCCACCACGGAGTGACAAAGCTGAAACTAGTGGAGTGCTGCCCAGGCTTTGCAGGATCCTGCTCTCCCACCCACTTAGGACAGCGCCCTCTGCCCTGGAGTGACACACGTGTCCCCTCAGGCGGCCGGTGACCTGAGTGCCCTCCTCTGTAAAATCCCAGTCTGGGAAGCAGATCTCTTCTCAGATAAACCAGAGCAACCAGGAGAGGCTGGAGCCAAAGCACACTTGAGAAGACTGAACCCAGTTATCTGCTTGATTTGAAGTTTGTAGTATTTCCAAAGCAGCTACAGGGTTACGTGTTGGCTGACTCAATCCGATCCACCCCACACACTGTGGGGACGGCCAGAAGCCCAAGGGACCCTGACGCCGCCACCGGGAGGGCCTTGGGCGCCACCCCCGGGCCCCACCCAGATTCTTCAGCTACAAAAGCGCAGCCCCAACTGCACTTCAACGGCAGGAAGCCCCGCGCCTGGCAGCACCGCGAGCTGCACCGCCAGCTCCACCGCGAGCTCCGGCGCGCTCCGCTAGACTGCACTCACTCGCTGGCTCGGAAGGTCCGGGCGGCCTCGGTGCTGCCGGGGACCCACTTTTCCCACCCAGTCGCCGGCGCCCACTGTCAGGTTGGAGCAAGGGGGGCGGCGGCTCTAGGCCTTCGCCAGATTCCCACAAAATAACTGTGAAGGAGGTCCCGTGCTGCGGGGGTGGAATAGCGAGGAGCGAAGGAGAAATCCGAAAACACAGAGTACAGGAGCGCGAGTCCCTCCAGGCAGCCCGGGCCGCCCGAGCGAGCGGGGCCCTCCGGGGCTCGGGCCGGCGGCACTCGGCCCGCGGGCGCCGG